TATCTTGCTAAAAGTATTACTAGATTTGTAGTTAATAACAGACTATCTTTCTAGTCTCCATTTATATTTCAGTTATTTCAGACATTTTAGAGGAGGAGATTTAGCTGAGAATTCTCTGCTAGCATATTTATTTTCAAACACATACACATTTGAGTATATACATTTTTCTCTAATTACCACTGTTGGTTCCCAAAATCATTTTGTGTAGCATTGTTTTAGTACACAGTTGTGAACGCATCATCTTTAATATTAATCTTTCTGTATTTTAGAATCTTATTGAGGTCATCCATATTTGTGAGTAGTTTGTGCATTGATTATACCGGTGATTTGTTAAAAAACAATTTCTTTTTAATGGAACAAAGTTTGTTATACAGTTATTATGTTAAACATGAAAAATTATACTTTTTAACTTACTGTATAACTGTATATTTATAAAGATGATTCAAAGGCAAAATAATAATACTGATAATGAGTGCATAGTTTTTGATCACTCATTATTTGATGCTATACAAAATTAATAATTAAAGTAGTGTGGTGTTTTTACACTGACCAAAAAGGAGTCTAACTGAAGAGAGTAGAGAGTTCAGCTATAGACACAGGCGTATGTTGAAACGTGGCACAGCAGCCGTCACAGAGAAGTGAGGAAGGAGGCTTCTCAATAAATGGTTCTAAGACATTGGTTATCAATATTATAACAAATGATGAATACCTAGCTTATTTATATCCAAACTACACAGACACAATTATAAATATACATTTGTAGATAGATACAAACATTCATATGCATATGATGTAGGTACATATATATACGCTTATATTTCCTATACTGTTTATGGATTATTTTATTAGTTCTTAACCTAGAAGTATATATTGACTCTTTATAGTGTATATTTACAATTGATCAAATAAGTCTTTCCCTATTACTAATAGTTTGAGGAGAAAAATGAAAAATTTAAATATATTTATATCTTTTTAAGAAATATTTCACACATACTAAAATTTGGTCACCATATATGAATGGAACATAATACATATGAATGGAACTTACTGAAATTCTAGTGCTGAGGGTTTTTTAATGCTTTATTTGACGTTATTAGATATTTACAGACTTTATCAAAATATATTTTAATTGTAAATTTAATATCAGATAAATTAAGTAACAATATAATAAAAATGAAAAAGTGTATTTGTATGTTTATCTTACATTTGGGTAGGAAATAAAATTATTTACTGAGGATATAAGTCAATGGAAAATAGATGTAAAAATTATAATAGTTTTCGTAAATGTATGTCCAAAATTATGATAAAAACAAATACAATTTTGCCACAAACAAAGGTCATAGAGCAGAGTAGTTTAGATCAGTGCTTCTTAAATACTCTTATGTTGAAGGACCATTCTTTTCTAACTACTCATGCAAATCTTTCTATAAAATAAAATAAAAATAAATTATTTAGAAATCTTACGTTTTAAAAAGACATGCACATTATATTTTATTATTATGTGCAAGAAATATAAACTTACTCATCCCATTTCTATAACATATTACAAACATGTAGTATGAAATGTATTTACTTAGTTCACTGTAAACACACAACCCATACATTATGGAGCCACACAGGTCTCTGGAACCCCTAATCTCTGGTTTTATCTGTGGCTTATGTCCCTTTTCTGGTTCTTACTACTACTTGGAATAGACACATAAAGTCTTTCTTCCTCCATTTAATCTACTTTAAAATAAAAGTGAAAACTCTGTATAAGATTAAGATGATGTTCAATAAAGTAATTACTGCATAAGAATAACAACTAACATATATGCTTGGCATATATTAAGCAGGCAAATGTCTGTTTATAATTTTACGGAATGAACTTTATCAGTCAGAAGTAAAAATAAAGTGCTTGTCTTACTGTTACTTAGCAAGATTTGTTTACTATAATTGCTCCTAGTGTTTTCTAATGTGACAAGAAAATTGAGTGACTTTCTTATGCATTTGTGAAAATTATAAAAACAAAAACAGCCTTTGTAAAATTACAAGTTGGGTTCTATTTTACTTACTAATTTTATTAGTAATTTCTTTGCTTGGATTTGCATTCATTTTTAACCTAATTTAATGCTGATTAATTGTATTTACTTAATTATACTTAAGGTTTTAGTATTTCTGTAAAAAATTTCTCTGATATGTAATACCTTAACACTCTGCTGTTCTCTTACATTACTTTTAATATTATACTACAGTTTAATATTATATTATAGTTGTCCATACTGTTTTTTCTTTCAATATTATTGGCTTTCATTATTACTTTCCTTTTGCACTAATAGAAAAGACACATTTTTACACAGAACCCTTTTATTCATAGATATTTTCTTATGTATTAATATTTTAATTTAAAAGTTTAATTAATTTGTTATTTATTTTCTATTGTGTAAGATGAGGAAACCTAGTGACCTTATCAGAAAGTAGCTAGCCAACTACCTGATTCATATTTATTTATTGTAAGTATTCTTTGTCTATAGGCTTTGAATACTTCCAATCAAATTTTATTTTAAACATAAAATTTCATATAAACACTTTCATTTTGTTACATGTAATAGCATTTACAATAATGTATCATTACAAAATTATTATAAAGTTTTGTATGTGTGTGTAGATATATATATATATGCATGTGTGTGTGTTCATGATTGTTTGCATGATAAAGATAACTTGCAAATACAGATGCTTCTTGACTTATTATGAAGTTACAACTCAAACCATCATATCATGTCAAAACATATTTAATATACCTAATTTACAGAACATGTTAGCTGTGTTGTCACTATAGGTCAAAACAGGGACAGGAAGGATTGATGAATAATGTAAGATTGTTCTCCTCTTCAGTCCACTTCAAAATCTGAATGATAGGTTATCTCCACAAAGAAAAAAACATTTTAACAAAGAACTGTGACTATTTAGGGAGTATCTCCGTGTAGTACAGTGACCAATAATAGATAAAGAAACAACTATCAGGAGTCAATCTCAGGTTACAACCAATAGTATATGCATACATACATATATATATATATATATATATATATATATATATATATATATGCTTATATCTCTATTTATCATCTATCTATCTATTAAAATAGAGAGAGAGTTTAAACAACTGGCTCACAGAATAATGGAGGCTGGCAAGTGTGACATTGCAGGTCAGCCAAGCCAGCAAGCTGGAGGCCCAAGGAAGAGTTGATGTTGCAGCTCAAGTTCAAAGTTAGTCTATAGTCACTTTCTTCTTCTTTAATGAACTTAATCTTTATCTATATAAGTCTTCAACTGATTGGATGAGGTTTAACCCTATTATGAACAATCTACTCAGACTGCTGATATAAATATTAATCATATCTAAGAAGTACTTTCACAACAGCATCTAGACTAGTGTCTGACCAAAAGCTGGATGCCATGGTCTGACCAAGTTAACACATAAAATTAACATCACAATGTTGTTGGGAATTATTTGCCCTGGAGAACTTTCTCACCTGTCCATTAAAGTATCAAAAGTGATTAGGGCTTAGTTTTGATCTTTCCCACTGATGTATTTTACCTGTAAAGTTAACTGATAATCTCGGGGGAATCTGAGCTCATAGAAAAACTATACTCGTTTTCTGAAGACTACAATGGTCTTAAAGAAAAATAGATGTGCTATGAAATCTATAATAGAAAAATACAGCAAAAATGTCACACATAAATAAAAATTTTATGTAAGCTTAATAAGCACCTTCAAAAAGTCATACAGTATTATTGTAAATAAGAAGCAGGAATAACCTGATAAAATAATGAATCAAAGAGAAATTCCAGGTCTGAACAATGTAATATTTTAAATGAAAACTCTGTAGATGAACTAATATGAAATGGATATAATTAATGAGCAAATAATTGAACTGGGATGTAAGATTGAGAAACTTCATCACATGTCATAAAGTTATAATGGCAGGAAATATATGCAAAGTTCAACAACATGGGGTCAAAATTAGAAGAGAAAGCATTTATATGATGAGGACAAGAGTATTCCCTTATCATAAAATTGGAGTCCCAAAGGAGAGCAAAATTCAGAAGTATATTGAAGAAATATTTATCATGAATCATTAATATAGACAGATGCAAGAATTGAGACATAAAAGCCTTAAAGAATACTAAAAAAAATAGATAACAAGATCCTACAATGGGACTGTAGATAGCAAAAGTTTTAAGATTCTTAACATTTAAATAAATTTATAAAACCTTCCAGATACTAATTATGAGTTAAGAACAAGTGTTAATTTTGACTTTTTGATAATGATACTGAATGAAGGCAACAATTATTTAATATAAAGTAATTGAAAGGGAAAAATACATGTGTTTAAACTGTTTGAACATCTTCGAAAGTGTATTCAAAAGGTTTTCTCTTTACTCTGTCTTAATGAGATAGTTATACATGTCTAGTGTTTGATGAGAGAGGGAGAGAGAGAGAGAGAGAGAGAGAGAGAGAGAGAGAGAGAGAGACTGTGGAAATAGATGCACTACCTTCAAGCAGATAAGGTTATTAGGTAATTCCAACATAAATATCAAGGAGTATATCTCATGCCCTTTAAGCAGTCATTTGAAAGAGGAACATCTAGCAAAATCTTAGAGAAGAAGCAAGTGTACTTAAATACAAGTCACTTCATAGCATATATTTTTAAGTGTCTGCTTTAATACCCCCAACATATCTCTTTAATTCAAAAGATGAAGAATATACAAAATGGTATAATTTGGTGACACATTTTAGAAAATATTAAATAACAGATGAATTAATTGTTTATAAAAGTTTGCAAAAATTGGATTCTGGGTAAATCACTCATCAGCTTTCACTGAGGGATGGCAAATTGAGCAAATGACAGCATCTCAGTGCAGTTTTAGTGTGATCTGGAATGTTTTCACTCTGGTTTCGTGTCCATTTCACTCTTCTAGGCTGCTTCTTCTTCTTTTTTTTTTTTTAAAGTCAGGGGAAAGCGTGAATGCAGTCCCCCACTACCACAAATTATGCAGTCAAGTTTCCCACATTTGGCGAAATCGCAGGGATCAGCACATCTGGAATGCAATGGATAAGACTGGCCCTGGAAAAACTACTTTCGTAATCATGGTATCTCCCCTGCCAGCTGGCTTCTGCTTCTTAATAGAAAGTACATCTTGATGCATGTGATCTGCAGGGACTTGACATATTCACTCACCATTTTACAAAAGTAGTATTTCTAAGCTAAATATATATAAATTTCTATTTTTCTCCATCGTCTGTTGTCTCGATGCTTTTATCAGTTGCTTTTCAATCAACAGTATTATTTTTCTTCTACATATTCATGAATTGTATTGGACAGCAGGATAAAGAAAATGTTGATTACAGTGTGTGAGACTGACAACTCCCCTCATGAATACTTTGTATTGTGCTTGGACCTCTGTAGGAAGAATACATATCTGATTATTTATCAGTTAATTGAAAGATTACCTAACTTTAGCTAATGGAAAGTGTAGATTATCCCAGGTCACCAACAACACCACTTCCAGTTCCAGTTACAGGTTTAGTAAGTTCTAGTACTCAGAAGCACAATTTCTTCCTGTAACACATTCCAAGGGCTTTAATAACCTTCACAATTTGAGAAAGAAAAAAATATTTTCAGCCAAAAAGGAAGAAAAACATATATTGTTCTCTAATCATTTGCCGTTTTTACTTTCTCTTTTCCATCTTTACTTTCTCTTTTCCTTGAATGGCAAAAAAAAAAAAAAAAAAAAAAAAAAAAAAAAAAAGAAAGCCTTGATAGCTTATGTGCATACCTCATTGTCAAAATTCAACCATTGTTACCCTAAGAAAAAAAGACCCTTCTATAATATGTATCATGAAATTTCAGAGGCATTATATTTGGCAAAACATCAGCACATAGAAACATAGATGTACAGAAAGTTTCTACTTTCTACTGTTTTTACTTAGGAAAAATCAGTGGTGAGCACTGGTACATATTGTTAAGCATAAAATCAGTTTTCTTTCATAATGAAGCCACAGGAGAGACAGGATTTAAATTAATTACAATGATTACATAAACCCATGCTTTTGTGAAGTGTTAGACTACCAATTGTCCAGAGGCAAAAGAGAAAATTATTCTTAATTTATTGTCATATAATTATCCTCATAAATATATTTACTGCTGTTTCTCTGGATTCTTAACAACCTAATTTTCTCTGTTGTCATGGGGAATTTTATTACCACCCATGTTGATTTCTTCATGGGAGAAGACTTAGATATGAGGGGAGTAGGCCTCAGGGATACATGGCAGATTTCATGACGTCCTGGTCAAGATTGTGATCTGCAGCTCACATACTCACATTTATTGAACATTTTAAGAAAGGCCTATGTATTATGCAGTTGAATTATAAATTGATTATTATGCTGTATTGGGTGAGAGGTTTAGAAGATAAAATTTAAGTCAGTAAACAAAAAGACCAAAAACAAAAGGAAGCTTTGAGTTATTATGCAGAAAATAAAGAGGAATTTTGAAATTTGTGCATCACTAGATTCCATCTCCATCTTCCCCATGTCCCTTCATCACTGCAGCAAAAGTAGGAGCTTCATTTTTTTGTGGAGAATATACAAAAACTCTCTAAAGCAGAGGCAAATTGAGAATGAGGGTGCTGAAAACAATTACAGAAATTGAGTCAACTCTTACATACCAAATTTTGGAATTCTCAGTTGACTTTAGCAGAGCTCCCACAATGCTGGCAGCCAAGGCTATAGAAATTGGCATAGGATTTCTGTAACCAAGTGACCCAGCCAATCTCTCAACATGTGCTAGATGAATATCACCAATCAGTTGAGATACTCAAACCAAACTTTTAAAGCCCCATCATAAATATAAGCAGAAAAGCAAGTGCCAGTATACATCTGAGGGAGGCTGACAATATAAAGGAGACCAAAAGAAAAAATAAATATTTAAAGAAAAAATATATATAATAGTCAAAGAAAAACTAGAAAGGAACAAGATATTCATAGTCTCAGAAATAGAAGATAGGAACAATGAGATAGAAATAAAGAGCAAATGCAAATACATACAAAGGAGATTATATATATATATATATATATATGTATCTCCATATCTAATATCCATAGAGATGTATGAGATGTATATAAAATATAAATACACAAAAAGAATATATATCTATAGATATATTTTACACACACATACATATATATAGCTATATAACTAAAATTTCAAAACAAAAACAGTGAGAAAAATTTTTTTTACAGCTTTGCATTTTTATATTTTTGCATCTTTCCTTAAGATCTGGTTTAATAGAAAATAGCTGTCACTTTATATGTGCTGCTGTATTCAATCTGTGGAAATACATTGTTTTTTGAATTATATGAGTAAAATCTGACCACACCCAGAAAAGAATTGGACATAAATGAGTATTTTAATAGATTTTCAGATAGTAGTATTATTTTGGGATATTATATCAAAATTTAAGGGTGGTAGTTTCTTAATAACTAGTTGCACTTTAGAAATGAAAGGTATATTTTTGTACTCTACTACTTTAAAATCCATTGATTTATCTTGTATTTTGAATGGATCTTCTGCTCATGCATTGTTTTATAACAAACAATGCCAATTTGGGAAATCTGGTCTCATTGAGTAATTCGGTTATTTTATATGTCAATATCATTCATAACAAAATATTACAAAAATCACATTTGTTAATACCATCACCATCTCATAAAGTCCTTATGTATCGGGAATCAGTCAATCATTTCCAAAACTTACGCTTTAGAAGTTCAAGTTTTGCTTTGGCAACAATAAGTACTAAACTTCTCTTATTTTCATATTTTTGTTTTATTTTATAATTTTTGTTTCTATCTGATTCAAAAATGACACTTTCACATTATTTACTTCAGAGAAAACATCAGCCAAATATCCATGCTTGCATAACCGTAATTATTACAATTACATAAACTCTACAAACATGTATTCAACCTTATCTTCATCACTTCCTTCACTCCTGCAACAGGAAAAAGGAGATTCCGTTAAAGCAGGTGGTGGTACATGTTTTCTAAAATAGTAAACATTTTAAGTTTTTTGGTCCCTATGTTTTTCCTTAAGTACTCTCTTTATCATTGTAGTGCAAAAGCAGCCAATGACAACATGCAAATGAATAAGTATAGCTCCATTCTCATAAAATTTTATTAATACTCATGTGTCATAAAATATTACTATTCCATTAATAGTTTTTTTTTGTAACCATTTGTTAAATCTTAGCTTGCAGGGCATGCACAAACACCTGACAACCCTATTTTGCTTTGGCACACAATTAATAATTTACCTTGCATTAAAGAAAAAATAGAGTCTTTATGTTTCTTCTCCCATGCCTTGAACTTGAAATTAAATGCTCAAATTTGTATTTTACATTGCGTATGCTCCTGGAGGGAGAAACATGAAGTCCCATGTACTTCCCATTATGTTTGTAATGACTATTGTTATTGTAGCTAGTATGAACTAATGTCATTTGATCTCTCAATGTTTTGACTGATACCTTCACTCTATTTGCTGCTACAGTACAAGATCATTTTTATGTCATGGTTACCAGCATTTCTTTGTCATTTGACAAAGTAGCCAGCTAAGTCTTCCATCAAGTAGATGACTAACTTAATCGAAAAATCTATTTTGAAGTTCCATTCCTGAAACTCATGTTAATTACTGTATTGATCAGACTTTCAGCAAAAAACTGATAGCACACCCATGAGAGGTGGTTGTAGATAATTTAACAAAATAACTACTTAGATAAATATGAACATACTTAAATGAATTAATTAGAAATTGTAGATAAGCATGGCACTGAGAACGTCCATGGGACTGGTTAGGAAAAGCAGGTTCACCAGACGCTGGTAAGAGCTATAACCATTTAAACAAGAAGGAGGACACCAGAAAAGAGTTGTGGATACAAACATATGAATTCAATGGACAATACTGTGCCCTGACAGAGAGGAAGCAGGAAATATCCTAACCTGTCTCTTCTCACTTCAAAGTCCTATTAGTGGTTCTCACTAGCCAAGGCCAACCGGATATCAGAAGGCAACAGATCCTATATAATAAAGTTATGGAGAACAAACTTAGACACAGACTTTGGTGTAGAAAAGGTCAAATAATGGGTATAGAAGGTCAATCAGAAGAGAAACAGTGCAAACTATGACTCTGGCTGCATTACAAGTAATGGATTAGTTTGTGATAAGTCCGGTGAGATACCACTCTTAGTTTTTTTCCTTTCAATATCTGCCACACTTCCACTGAGAATTGGGGTAGGGATAAGTAAAAGTATGTTTCATCTGTTCTGCTCAGAAAACTAATTATTTGTGTAATGTGAGGTGTATGTATTTGAGAGATATTGAACCATTGAAGAGAAGAGAAGCAAAGAGATGAGAGACCAAAGAAAGAGAAGGAAGATAAGAAAAGAGAAGAGAGAAGACAGGGAAAGAGAGATGGCTTGAAGAAAGGAAAAGAAAGATAGAAAAGAAAATGAAGAAAAAGGGAGTCAAAAGAAAAAGGCAGGAGAAGAATGAAGAGTGTGAGGTAGAAAGGAAACAGCTGAAGTACCCAATTGCAAAAGAAATGAAAATCGTGCCTTATTCAAAATAGTTTGTATGAAGCAATACTAATGTGTGTAATTAGATAAGTTTGTAAAGAAGAGCAATTCTGTATTTAAAAACTAAAAAAGAAACTCAGTTTACGACAGTTGACAAAAAGTTACAGATCCAAAATTATTCTTCAGTGAACAACTTAAATAGCATCCTAACAAAAATTTAACAAACTATTATGATTTATGTGATTTTCTCACTGTTCTCATTAGGTGGTCTGTAATTCTCTGTCCACCTGTTTCTAGGTGGCACCTTTGACCAGAGTTGCTTTCATGGCTCAACTCTTACATTCTCACTAAGTTTTCCCTGATGAAAAGGCTTGACCTATCAGAGTGGAGAATTGTATTGATGAGGTGAAAAACGTATAGCTTTTTACTTTCTGGATCCTCCCCTAAGGATGTGTAGTTCAGGTAGGAAGGACATATATTCTTTTCTCCACATAAGGAGAGTAGATGACTCTTCAAGAAAAGGTTGCCTTAATAGCAAAGAACATT